TGAATCTCTGATTAATATTTTTATTTTTTACTTTCATTTGTAATGATTTATTTTAAAACAAATATAAAACAGAATACAGTAAAGAATAACTTTTAAATAGAATAAATTATTTTGCTTTTAATGCATCAGAAGAAAAAATGCTTAGTTATATGTAGACTCTGGATATTTATGCAAAATACTTAATTGAATATTTTGCATAAAATGTATGCAATTTTTCACAAATTGCATATTTATAGATAGCAATCTCAATCTTTTTATTTTATTTTTTAATAACTCTTTAACGAATGATCGACTGCTAAACTGTCCGATAGTTATAATATTCAGTTAAGTGTTTTGCATAAATATCTACAATCTAGTTATAGTTATAAAAAATATAAAGTGTGATTTATTTTAATCTTAATAGATAAATATTTAATCTTAATGAAAAATATGCAATTCTATCAAGAAATATTTCAAATAAAAATTGTGTAGTACAAAGGGAAACATCACCATTGGTACATCCCTCTCTATACTATATAACTTTTATTTGGAATGTTTTTTTTTTATTAAATTAACATATTTTTAAAATATTTGCCTGTTAAGATTAAAATAAATCATCCTGTATAATAAATTAGGAGTAGCCAACCTTTTTATCTCAGACGCCTGATAACAAGGTTGGCTATCCCTGATTCGTATATATGACTGTATTCAGATAGCATATTATCAGTGTAATTATGAGAAGTAAAAGCGAAACGTAGATATTGATAAAAATTATCGATTGCTGCAAGTTATTTGCGTAAATAAGTAACAGAAGCGGTGGATAAATATGTGTATTCGTTGTATCTAATTAAGTTAAGATCTCAAGTGACGCGAACAAATCATGGGGCTGCATATAGTGTTACTGATACTTGGAGTAACGATACTTCAACAGGGAATATCCCTTGAAGTACATGCACCACGAGTCGGTAAGAGTTAATTTTTCATTTCAAGATGTCGCTTAATAATTTACAAAAGATTTTTATTCGTTCTTATGTTCGACTTTTTCTTTTTTAGCTATTGTAGGAGGTGGTATCGGCGGAGCGTCCGCCTCGCATTTTCTCACTGAATTGTTAAAGAAATCTGTGGAAATCGATTTGTACGAAGCAAAAACTATCGGCGGACGATTGGCGACCATCAAGATTGATAAAGATGAAGTCGAAGCTGGTGGTTCAATTATACATTCTAAGAACATGTATATGCAGAGATTTGTTAAACTCTTGGGTAAGTATAGCAATTTTCTGTTTTCTTAGCTCAAACATGTTACCCAGCAAACAAGAATGGATTAAAATGGATTGAAATTTTTTTCTATCCGAATGCATATTTTAAATAGCAAATATTTTTTTTTAGATTCAATTGGATTCAATTAGATTCAGTTGGATGCAATTAGATTGAAAAATTATATTTCCTATTCAAAATTTTGAATTAAATAGTATTCACAATGCACAGAAAAGACTAATATTATTTTTAGATTGAAAGGCATAGAGATATGCTCCATGCAATTTCTATAAATGAATAAAAATGCATTCAGGATTGAAAAGCATTTATTTTAACATTCGTAAATCAATATTTCTGAAAATCTGAATCCATTTCAATTCATTTCAATCCATTCTTGTTTGCTGAGTAGTTGTATATGTTTATTTCTATTAATGTAAATTAACTTTAATCTTAATTTAATTTATTTTTTTATCTTTTTCTAATTCTTGGCACTATATTATATTATTTATTTATTTCTGTCAATGTAGAGTAATTTTAATCTTAGTGTGATTTACTTTTTACTTTCTTTCAGTCCCCTAAGAAATAGAAAAAGATAAAAAAATTAATGAAATTGAGATTAAAATTAATCTACAGACTGTAGATTACAGTAGCAGAAATAGACCCTAAAGATAAAAAGTAAGTGATTTAACTGATTTAAACTGATTTAAAGTTAATCTATGTTGGTAGAAATAAATAAGAAATATTATTAACCAGCTTTTATGATTTTTTTAGGTTTGGAAAAGAGTCCTTCCAGTGATGAAACATTTGGCATATGGAACGGAGATGAGTTTATATTCATAGCAAGCGATTGGTCCATAGTATCGCTAATGAAATTATTTTATAGATATGGCTTTCAGTTGTTTACTCTCAAGAGGTATTTAAACATTGTAATATAAAGTATAAGAGAAGAGAAAAATATAATACTCTATTATATATTTTCTTTGAGCAGTCTTATAAGCAACATGATAGAAGATTTTGTGAAGATATATGATCTGCAGGATGCAGGGCAATCCTTTGCCAATGTTACTGCACTGCTATCAGCTATGAATAAGGATTTTCCGAAATTATTAAAGACGTCTACGAAAGAATATCTTTTGCGTAAGGGTTGCACAGAAAAAATGATCAATGAATTAGTGCAAGTCGCTACCGTAGTGAATTACGGTCAGGAAGTCGATATCCAAAGTTTCGTTGGTTCCATAGCTGTGGCTGGGATAGATGGTGACTTATGGTCTATTAAAGGTGGAAATAAAGGGGTAATATATTATTAACTTATTGTCTAATTACTCATAAAAAAAATATATAAAATACGTTGAAATCTTAGGTACCGGAGCATCTCATTTACAGAAATAAGAAAGTAAATGTAGTACCAAGCTGTGTTACAAAGATTCGCAATTTAGCAAACGATCATGATGTAAGTCAATATGAAGTGACTTATATAAATAAAGGTGCGATAAATAAAATCTGTTTGAGAATGAGATAAATATTTAAATTATGTAGTGAAAAATAGCAATTATGCATTTCAGGTAGCACTGATCCAATGACATCTAACTATGACATCGTAATTATTGCCGCATCACTTACTAGCGATCAAGAATTTCAAATAGAATTTATCGAGTTTCCGGGTAATTTGGTGATTCCAGGAAAATATCAGACAACGTATGCGACGTTCATCAAAGCGAATCTTAAACCAAAGTACTTTGGCTTGCAAGAGTCTTTGGATGGGATTCTAAGTTGCAATCCCAACAAAACAATGATCAGTTCAGTCGGGAAAGTGAATCCTGTTGATGGTTCAATTAGGAAAGATCCACAAATTTGGAAGGTCTTCAGCAGAAAACCTCTAGAGACAAGTCTTGTACACGATATGTTTTCTGAAGTATGAAATTTGTTGTAATTGTTTTGTGTAAGAATAAAAGCAAAACTGCTATACATATTTAATTTTCTTTTTTATGTTAAGGTCATCGAGAAAAAGGAAATTGCTTGGAAAGCATATCCCCATTACTCGACAAAGATGAACTTTGATAATTTCAAACTACATGATGCACTCTATCATGTTAATGTATTTGAGTGGGCCGGAAGTACGATGGAAATGAGTGCAATAGCTGGAAGAAACGTTGCTATTTTGGCATACAATGATTTTCTTCAGAAATTCCATAATTCTATACTGGATAAAGAAACTTCTGAACATACATCTAAAAAATTACATTGTTCTGAAGATTTATAATATCTTTACTGTTAACAGATTTTATATGGACATGAAAGTATTTTTATAGCACATAAGTGCAATGTTGTGTATAAAAGAAGTTACGAAATAAATCAAAGATATCGTTCGAAACTTATTGAGTCAAATATAATTTGATAAAAGTGCGTAAAAAAATAATAAATATTTGTGTTACCATTATTTGTACAAATGTGACTTATTTATTAACATGTTTGCCCAGTAAATTATTTTACATGTCTTATCTTATAATCCGACGAATCCATAGTTTTTCATTACCATAAATGTATAAATATATATAT